GAAGCTCTGAAGCACAAAAGAAATTAAATAAACACCCTATGATCAAATGGAGGGTGGCTTTTTCACAAGGTGGCCAGCCCATAAGATCCCAGGACGTGGGATCTTTCTGTAGCAATATCCAGTGGTGGGATTCAAATGATTTAACAACCGGTTCTCTGCTCTAATGATTTCTTCCAACAACCAGTTCACCAAACTGCTCAGAAAGTTAACAACTGGTTCTCACTAAGTGGTGCAAACTGGCTAAATCCCATCACTGCCCTCTGCCATATCTGCCCTCTGGAATGGGATCTCCTCTGAGATTCATGTATTTCCCACCCACATGACAATCCAAAAAGCCTTAAGGACCCGGCTTTTTACCCAGGACCTGTAGTAACAGATTAACAGAGTTGAAAGGGACCTTGCAGGTCATCTAGTCCAACCCCCTGCCCAAGCAGGAGACCCTACATCTGCTTCTACCTAGGATTGAACTCACAACCTCCTGATTGTGAGGCAAGAGTTCCACCTTTAGGCCACCACAGGAACCCCTTTGTTTGTGATGTTTATCCTTGTTTTGTCATTGGAGTGTGATTTTGCAGTCACTGTGGTACAAGTTTTGATTAATTTTACGTATTTTGCTACTTTTGAATTATTTGTTATTGTAAGCCACTCAGAGTTGAAGTCAGGCAGAATAAATACAGCTGAATAAATACATATAAAAAAAGAATTCATATTCACCAGAGATCGCTTCCCCAGAAACTTTCAAGTCACTGTGAAATCGTGCAGGTCTTATTTTAGAAAACCAGAAATTCCTGCTTGCTCCTTTTCCCAAACCCAGGAAAATCTGTTCCTCCAGATATGTGGAAATTCAACTCCCATAATTCCCCAAACTCTGCCATCAGGACAGTGCATGATTTGGGGAGACAGATTTAAACCTTAACTTTCCCCAAATGATGTTTACAGTGCAAAATTATGCACACTGAGCTCTAAAATACTGATTATCAAAAGCAATCTGTTGACACCATAAATGAGAAAATCAACTAGTTGCGTGGTTTATTTTTATTTCATGAGAGAATGTTTGCCTGTGATTTTTCTTGGACTCTGATCCCGCCCCCTCCCCGCCCCATGGCCTTTAGTAAAACACATGTTGCTTACACAGTGATATATAAGCAACATTAATCAGCTAACTGACTCTGTGCCTTTCAGAGAAGTCACAGTTGAAAGCTCCAAAAGGAAAAAAGACTGGAGGAAGCCCAAGTATGAATTAACTAAGCTACAGTAAAAAAAAAAAAGGGGGGGGGGAATTTTAATTACATAATCAGCTAGATGCATGTAGTTAAACAGATGAATTCACAGTTAACAAGATGAATGCAGCCTTAGTGGCCACCAAAGAAGAAGGAATAAATATCAACGCAAGGGAAGGAAGTTAATATTTCAAATGTGCAGGATGAAGGTGAACTCATACTGGAGTTTCATGACAATTATGTATTTCATTGAGCAGAGGCTGGCATGGGAAGAATACACAACAATTTCCTGTCTAAGTTCAGCTGTTTAATTCATGTTGATCTTTCACATTCATCAGAGGTTTGCTTCTTTGCTAATATTGCAGGCGTGCGATGGGAGATAATAGAAGGGAGTGAGATCGTTTGGTCTCCCATTCTGACAGCTTTTCTGCCCATCTGTGTATTACCCCAAGATGCTGTTTTGCTGTAATTGTATGTAATTAGTGAACAATAATTACAAAGATGCCTTCATGGTAAAAACACTGTCTAGCATCTTGCAAAAAAAAAAGAATATACAAATATTGGAATGCATTTCACAGTGGTGTTAATAGGGACAAGAAGAGAGAAAGTATTTGTGTAAGTATTGCTTTGGTAGAGCTATCTTTTGTGTATTTCTTTGAGGCATTTTCAAGGTATTTCTCCATTATTCTTTATTAAAAGTGGCTATAAATGGAAGCAGGATTTGTGGTCTCGATTCTACCAAAGGTGGCTTATGTGCCAGAGGAGGAAGAGGAGGAGGGGGTAGGGAAAGAGAAGGAAGAGGAGGAAGAAGAAGAGAAAGAGGAGGAGGAAGAGAAAGAGAAGGAGGAGAAAGAGGAGGATGGTTATGAAGGATGGGAAAATAGTCAGTGGCATAATCACATACCTAGTTTGTGGTGTTATAGGGCTGAGAGTCTTTGATAAACTTCTAAGAATCTGGATATACAAGTAACAGTATTGATTCATGTAAATCAAAAGAGAAACACGTAACACAATACTATATTTTCATTAGTATGAAAATACTAAACAGGATAATATTAAAAGAACTGCAAAAACAAAGGGGAAGTACTTAGACACTTTAGTGAATTTGCAAACATAAAACAAAACTCAGAATATCAACTGGGCCTTATTAACTACTGGGGAAATACAATTCAAAAAACAAAGAAGTCAAATGGATGCAAAATCTGAATGCAATAATTGATATGCAACTGTGGGAATTTCAATGAAACAACATTCAATGTTTTATCATTAATATAATGGTCACCTCCTGATTGCTAAAATCAACAGTTCATTCTCTAAAAATTGATGGAAATGGAATGAACAAGCTGGGTCATTCTTTCATACTGAGTTCCCATTACAGGCTTTAATATTTTTATTAAACTTTATTAAACCACCTAACTGTTTGAAGTACACTAAATTTGCTTTGAATAGGTTAACTAACGTACGATGCTTTTTGCTGGAAAGATTGTTTGATCCCTGCTAAATTAAATTGTATAATTCTATGTCTAAAATAATTTCCTATCTTAAAAAGAAATATGACATAGAATTCAACTTACGCTTAAACTAAGAATGGAAACCTTTCTTAGACTACAAGTTAATGCATACATTTGTGCCACATCTAAAAATTGGGTTTCTCCATGCATAGAGTACATATTTCAATTTTATGGGATGTTTAAATCTGAATAGATTCTCAATCATATAGGTTGAATTTACTGTTCTTATCATACCATGCAGTTAGTTATACTGTGCTGACTACAATTCTGGATATTCATGCTTATCTTAGAGCTTAATAGCAATTTTCAGTCTCTACAATGATAAAATATATTCAGTGATTCATTCTTAACTAATGATACACCAGAAAATTATAATTTCCATCACATTTGAAATCCTTTGCTGCGCTTTACTTTTTTATTCCTGTTTCCTTTTTAATGTTTATATCTTCTTTAAACTGTCTAATAATAAGGTACAAAGAGAACATCCAACCCACTACAGAGTTGCAGAGATTAAAGCTCCAAAACACCCAGTTATATCAAAGGAGATCCTACTTCCGGGATAGGCTACCTGTAGTCACCTTTACCATAGGTAAACCCTGGGTCAGGGTTCCAGATAGCATCCAAAACTTAATCAGAGTCCAAGGGAAAGTATTGCTCAAAGTTCCAATTTATTAAGAGAGCCATGTTGGCACATCTGGGAAAACCTGAATCTGAAAGCTTACTGGTTTTCCACCCACCCAGTTGAAAGTTCAAGATCTTGCCCCCACACCCACAATCCCATCTCATGGTCCAATCTCCCACTGCCATGCTGGCAGCTTCCACCCATTCAGGTCTGGTCAGGTGCAAAGACAAAGGATGGCCTTGGCTTTCTAGAAAGAATTTTGTTTTGGCTACATATCATCTAACTCTGTACAATCCCCCCTCCCATTTTCCCACAATAGAAAATACATAACAGAATAATAGAAAGTGTGGCAGGTCTGAGATCCACAAGAGAATATGGCTGCAGGCCTGACACCTTGATCCTTTTTTCTCTTTCAAGTCTGATCTCTTTGACCATAACTACTTAAAATTGTTGGTACACTTGCCTACTTCTTTGCTTTAGGAAATATAGCAAATCTAAGCCACTTTGATTCTAGTGGCAAAGGTGCCATGCTAGAAAGCGGAGGACCATGAGTTCTAGTCCCACCACAGGCATGAAAGCCATCTGGGTGTCTTTGGGGCCAGTCCTGCTCTCTCAGTCCACCTCACCTCACTGTTGAAGGGAGAAAATAGGAAGAGGAAGGTGTGTTGGACATGTTCGTTGCCTTGAGTTATTTGTAAAAATAATAAAGGCGGGATACAAATAAATAAATACAAAGAGTGCAATGCACTGTGGGGAAAATAGGAGGAGGAAGGTATGTTAGATATGTTCACTGCCTTGAGTTATTTGTAAAAATAATAAAGGCGGGATACAAATAAATAAATACAAAGAGTGCAATGCACTGTGGGGAAAATAGGAGGAGGAAGGTATGTTAGATATGTTCACTGCCTTGAGTTATTTGTAAAAATAATAAAGGTAGGATATGAATAAAAGTAAGCAAGCAATAAACAAAGCTATATTTTGCAGTAGGCAAAATGTAGCTTTGTTTATTGCTTGTTTATTTGTATTTCTATCCTACCTTTATTAATTTTACAAATAACTCAAGGCAGTCACATTATCATCACATTAAACCAACAAACACACACATCCAGTGGTGGGTTTCTGCCAGTGTGACTGCTGGTTTGGTGCGTTACGCTCTGCCTTTAAATAGGTCTGCGCATGTGCAGAACAATAAAAATGTCAAAAAAACATTTCCTGGCACCCGGGGAATCGGTTTGGGGGCGTGGGGAGCCTGCTGTCCCTACCAGTTCGGCAACCCAGTCATAATTTCCACTACCGGTATGAACCAGTAGCCACCCATCTCTGCACACATCAATATACAGTGACAATGTGCCAATTAGAAGAACTTGAAAAATTGTCTTCATTTGGGGTAGACTCTTGCCATCTTCCCTCCCCAGAGTGCAGCCTCTGGCCATCAGAATCTTCTCATGGTTGCCCTGTCTTCTTGACCAACATAAAGACAGGACAACACTTCTTTTAATTAAAAAAAAGAGGGGGGATTCAAAAGAAAAGAAGTACGATTATTAATTATAGGAGTTTTGATATTTTCCTCCTGCAGAAAACTTTTCTTTCAGCCCACAAAGCCTTTCCCCTCCTTCCAATAACTCTTGGATTCCTCTTGTATTTCAGAACATTTCAGGATCTTTCCAAGCAAATGGATGTCTCTTATGGCACTGTCAGGGATTCAGCCGTTTATGAGTACTTTAAAGCGAAAGGCACCAACCCTTTAGAGCAAGACAGCACTTTTGCTGAGCTGTGGAAGACCATCAGTAAGAACAATGGGGCTGATAACTGCGTAGCAAACCCTTCGGAAGGTATCAGGAAGGTAAGATGCCTGCAGGATTTGGTCTTTGATGGTGTCATCAAGAATAATACAAGTCCCTTTAATGCTGTGCAAAAAACAGCCAGAGATTAATACTTGGAGTAGAGATTGATCATTATTATCATTATTTCTTTTATTCATTAATCATGAAACTCAGTCAAATGAACATTTAAAGATGTGCCGCAAATACCATTGACTGGTGCTAATGGTTGATATGGGTTGCTGCCAGCACCCTAGGTATCAACCAAGTATCTCCTTAAAATATATGATATTCCTAGGAACAGTTTTTTGTAGTTCTGTTGCTGTTATTGCAGGAAGCTGCAATTTCTTTATGTTTTGTAAAAATCTTGGACATGGCACCAAGTGCCCCGACGACAATGAGTATCACTGTTACATGTTTCATCCATAGCCGTGTAGTTTCAATAGCCAGGTTGCAATAATTTATGATTTTTTTTCTAGTTCTTTTTCTTTGATTCTGGCATCTCCTGGTACAGTGATATTGATAAACTGTACACTTTGGACCTCTACAACTATGATATCTGGCATGTTGTGTTCCAAATGACAATCTGTATTCAAAAGTCCCACAAGATGATGATGATGATGATGATGATGATGATGATGATGATGATGATGATGATGATGATGATGATGATGATG